TAAACTATGTTTTTACTCTTATAATTACCATAAAACTATGACATTCAATTTATAATTGCAATTTTTCATTTTGTATATTTGATTCATAAACCGTATATTGGAAAATTATAATATTAAGTAAATATTTTTAATCAATAAGTGAAAAATATTGACTAAAAAATTAAAAATTTGCTGTTTACAATTATTTCAGAGGTGGAACATGTTTCTATATAAAATAATTGCAAATTTTGTACATATAAAATGGGTTTTGAGATTACGCTACACGTACTAGGATAGCACCTAAAACAGTTTATAACCAATTAATTAATCTTTGAATTTGTATTTCAAAATCTATATTATTACTCTTATAATTACCCTAAACCTATAGATTCTATCTATTTTTGCAATCTTCATTTTGTATATTTGAATCATAAACTATATTTTTAAAAATTATGATGTTAAATAAATACATTTTATTAATAAATTATATATATTGACTAAAACTTAAAAAACCGTTATTTTTGATTATTTCACGAGTTGAAAAAATATCCATACAAAGTAATTTTAAATTTTATATATATAATGAATTTTGGATTTCGTATAACAATTTTTCCAATAGCTATAGTTGATTTTTTTCTACTAAAACTATATTAATTTTACTCGCTAATTGTTGGAAAAATTAATACATTAGTTTGACCTATTATAAAAAGTCAACTATGACTTAGGTCCAAATGGACAGATGTCTGAATGGCATAGCTCTCAAATGTTGTAACTTCGAATTCTGCATAATATACGACGCCTGAATCCCACGGGATGGACGAGCTCCGAATTCTACGGGATATAGGCCTTTCAACTAAGGATAAGTCCAAGTCTCTAAGAGATATGTTTGAACTGACATACCAACCCAATCCTAAAACAGTTAGGGTTAGAGGCATCTCTATAAAAGGCAGACCTCCGAGAGCAGAAAGAGGGGGGTGCCAGAGCTAAAAACCCTAGATAACATATTCTCGCCGCTTCCACGAACAAGCAACGAGACTACAACAGAGCTTCCATTCCAGCAAATCGGACCTCTACAGCTCCGAAGATCTTCCTTGAACAACCGTCTTACGCTTTCAATTTATTGTAGCTTCGAGTTTGTTGTTCTAAGATCACTCATCAATAAAGAAAGATTATCTTCTATCGTTCCGTAGTTCTGTTTATCCGAACGTGTTAAATTTATCCGAAACACTAATCATATTATTTCGCTTATAACATGGATAATTACCTAATAGAGATTAGATTAGGACTTTCGCGATGCGAGGATTATTTAATATACAATAGATAGTTAGGTTTAAAGAATATTTTGAGGAAAGATAGGTCATCTTCTTATTTCAAACTTGAATTTAGATAATGTAGTAATTAATTTTATAGGCTCATATATAAATTGAAAAATTATACTCTCATATCTCATATATAATTAGAAGAATTTGGAAATCAATAAATATGTACAAATGATATCTATAAATTTAGTTTAAATCATAAACTATTGGATATAATAATTAAATCATTTTTACATATTTTGACAATATGTCTTCAATATTTTTGTTGTAAATTCTTTATTTTTGCTACTCCTCCTTGATCTAATTCTCTTTCTTTTAGTGATCGATTGTATTTATTTTCTTATTTTCTATTTTTTTTTATATGTTAAATGTAGAAAAATCAAGCAACATGTAGCACGTTACAGTATTGTGCGAAACCAACTGTATCGCAGATCATTTTCTGGTCCCTACTTAAGATGTGTCAACTCCGAAGAAGCAAGACAGGTTCTAAGGGAGTTG